TGACCTCAGAAAGGCTGCTGTCAGCTTCCTAGGAAGGTGTTTCCTTCTTGTAGCCCATATGAAATAATAGTGGAAGATTCTCCTCCTCCAGAAATGCATCTGCCTCCAGGCTCACCTTTTAGGAAAGTAGGAGACCTCGCATCACTGCTTAGTAAAAACTCAGTTACTATATACATTGTGCACCAATACATATAGTCCAACGTATATGTTCTTGTATATATAGACACCCTACTGCAAGGACAATGTCAGATTTTCTGCCCCATAGTTAAATTATGATGGTCTGTTAAACAACTCACAGCACTGGGCGAGCTATTCTGAAGAGCAGTGCCTTCACAGTTTCAGAATATGAACGTTTGCTGATGATACAAAACTTTTCAGAGGAAGACTAGTGCTGTCAGAAGAACTGCAGAAAATGAAAATCATCAACTATTTTTCAAATGATAATACAGTATATATATATATATATATATGGCAAAAGAGGCACATAAAATAAAACACTCCTGACTCCTGACTAAGAAGAGAGCCTCTGAACTGATACTATCACTCAGGAGTAAAACTTGGGGGCTGTGACAGTTTCATGGCAACAACAGCTCAGGGTTCAAGAGTGACTTCTGGGAAAGACAAAACGGAGAACTTAATTCTGTCCCTGTATAAATCCATGCTCTCCTAAGTCCTTGCTAGATACTGGGATGCTAGGTGTTCTGTTCTGATACTTTCCCCACTTCCCCTCAAAGAATGTCTTAGAAAAGATATAGGGCTAAGGAAGGTTCAAAGAAGGGTCACAAGATGATCAAAGGCATGGTACCACTCTAAAGAAAGCACAGTTTTGGAAGTTATGTCTCTAGTTTGGGCAAAGGATGACTGTGGGAGTCTTACCGAGATTTATAAAATAAAGCAAGCTATAGAGAGGGTGATTAGGGATTGATTGATTCCTTATTTTTCTCTAGTACAGGAGCAAGAAGGCACCAATTCCAGTGAATGCCATGTTTGATCGAGTTTTGCCTTATGTACAGCATGCAGAGAGCTCCTTGACATAGGCTGATGTGGGTGTTCATGTGGCTTCAGGAACTGACTGTATAAGATCATAGGGCAGAAATTAACTGAGAGTTATAAATGCATAAAATCACTCTGGTTCAGGATCTCCCTAAGCTGCAAATGATTGAAGGCAAGAAAAGTATTCATGAGAAGAGTGGTACATATCTTCCAGTCTTCCTGAAGGACTTGTGTTTGACTGCAACCAAAGTAAGGATTAGATGGCCACTTAAGCTCCTACATTATCCGACAAGTCTCTTCAGGCTTCCAAGTATGCTGTTAGGTGAATTAAGGCTATGGGCTAAGAGCTAAAAATACTGCATGCCTTATATTTTTGGACACAATAGGATATTTCAGACTGTGCATAAGTTGCTGGATAGTTAATGGTAACAAATGTCCCTCAGCTCCTGCTGACTTCATTACACTGACCCTGCTGTTGCACACTGGTCAGAGAGGGTAGAAGCCCGGGACCACCTATGCCTAGCAGGCAGTTTTTGCAAACCTGAGAAATCCAGGGATTTTAGGAAAAAGTTTGCATTGTGTGTGAATCACAACAATAATGAAGAGCTTTCTTGCATCTGGCAATGTGTGCTCGCAGCCCAGAAGGCCAACCGCATCCTGGGCTGCATCAAAAGCAGCGTGGCCAACAGGTTGAGGGAGAGGATTCTGCTCCTCTGCTCCGCTCTGGTGAGACACCATCTGGAGTCCTGCATCCAGCTCTGGAGCCCCCAGCACAGGAAAGACATAGAGCTGTTGGAGTGGGTCCAGAGGAGGGCCAGAAAAATGCTGAGGGCTGGAGCACCTCTCCTGTGAGGACAGGCTGAGAGAGTTGGGGTTGTTCAGCCTGGTAAAGAGGAGGCTCTGGGGAGACCTTACAGCAGCCTTCCAGTACCTGAAGGAGCCTACAAGAAAGCTGGAGAGAGAGTTTTTCAAGGGCATGTAGTGACAGGACAAGGGGTAATGGCTTCAAACTCAAAGAGGGTAGGTTTAGATTAGATATAAGAAAGAAATTATTTACAATGAGGGTGGTGAGGCACAGGCACAGGTTGTCCATAGAAGCTGTGACTGTCCCCTCCCTGGCAGTGTCCACGGCCAGGGTGGATGGAGCTCTGAGCAATCTGGTCTAATGGAAGATGTCCCTTCCCGTGGCAGGGAGTTGGAACTAGATGGTCTATAAGACCCCTTCCAACCCAAACCATTCTATGATTCTATATTAAGTATATATTACCTTTAACAGTAATATACAGGCGTGCAAATGAACATTACTCATGGGAAAGATGGAGCTGGCAACCCTGCTCAGAGCAGGACAATTCCCAGCAATGGTGTGAAGATCCACGAGCTGCCTGTAGCAATTCCATGTGTGGACTTTGGACACATTTTTTTTGTTGTCTGAATGGTGGCCCTTGTGCCCAAGGAGCAATTCTGATGGTTGCAGAGAGGATGTGGTGGCATTGAGTATTTGTGGGGGTGTGTGCTTTGTTGATTGAAAAAATACATGAATTCAAAACAGAAAAAATAACACTGAAGTGATTGTGTCTTATCGTTCTGAAACCATCATGCTAGAAACAGCTAAAATAGATAAAAGTCCATGGGCATTTGTCATATAAAAAAATCATTTTTTTGTATAGTATGCTTTCTTAAAATTTGAAAGTAAGAAGCATTGCTAGTGTGGCAAGAAGACTGTAGATGCTTGGTATCTAGGTGCACGTGGCTTCAACCACATATAGGTAAGATTTAGAAAGCAAAAATAACTATTGTCTAATTTACGAGCATAGCGCCAAATTTAGCTGCTGGTCCTCCACATTTGAGAAAACCAAGTCACACAGAGAGCTCATTTCAGACAATTCTGAATCAGGACCATCAGGATCAGTTTCAGCTGCAATTCAGTATTGACTCATAATTCTAAGTAATCATTCTCTGAGAAAAAGCTGCTGATGTGTCCTTTGCAATTGTACTGAGGCAGTAACCTTTACTCTGTATTTTTGGTCAACAGTCATAAAGGTATTATAATATACCAGGAATTCCTGTTACAAAAATATCATTTGCATCTGCCTCTTAGAACTATACACAATCAAAGGAAATCAGTTAAGATAAATAGAAATGGTATCCAATACCATATGTTACTGACATCAGGACTCTCTGCATATGACTGATGCAGGTCTCAGAAAAAAAAAAAAAGTAGGAAAGGAATCAATTTTACCTGGAGTAGAACTTTAATAAGCACAATTAATAGCAACTGTGAAATGATGACGTGAACTACGAGGGTGAAATGATGGCAAACTGTGAAACAGTGCTGATTTCAGCTGAAGTCAAAGATTTTTTTTCCTTGGAGTAGAGAAGTTGGGTTTATCAGAGCTCACTTTCCTACTTAGGTTACTGAAACACCACCATGCTCACCAGCAATTAGGAGACAAAACATCTTTTCACAAGCAAACTCTGGGTAAGAATGATTTCAGCAAGCTCAGCCTCCTTTCTAGTACAGCCATTAGCCCATCTACATAACTCACGCAGAACCTCAGATGGCATTAACCCTTGAACTGGAGTTCACTCCACTGAACCTCCGCCCGGCTAGAATTTTACAGTGAGAATAAGAACGGGATTTTCTGGGGACTTCCCTGTTGCTGTGCCATTTAACCTAAAAAGCTCTCGGACACCCCAGCAGTGGACAACAGCAGGGCGCTGCTGAACACATGGAGAGGTGAACAAGCAAATCCCACCAGGCGTTCAGTGCTCTGGGCCCCCTTGACCTTCACTGCAGTTAGTGGTAGCTGCACCTCAGCAGCACTGCACTTCTACATTGCTCGGCTGTGGAGCAATCATCTCTTCCTCCACTTTTTGTCTCCTCAGAAGGGGAATATTTTGCAACATAAATATAATGGAGAGATAAATAAATGGAAATTTTAAAATGGCCCAGCATGGAAAAAATGAACAGTTGTAGCAAAGGACAAATTTGTGGCTATGCATCTGATGGGATGGCCTTCACACGCCTAAGGCTTGGAGATCTAACAGAAGTAGCTCTTGGAGCTGTTTTTAATGCCCATTTTTTGTCAGGATATGCTAAGAGCCCAGATGGCAGCAATGCGTAAACATTATGCCTTGTGAAAAAACTTAGCACGTCTTCCCCTATACAAGAGCAAGCAAGAGAGTGTGAAGTAACAAAAACCTCAAGTATCAATTTCTTCTTATTAATGCC